AATAATTCATGAAGACCTGACTATGTCAATCCCTAAGTACAAATACTGTATCAATACAGGAGAATAAATAATTCAAGCATGAATATTTAAAACCGGCAAATCCAGAATGTTGTATTTGCACTCTGGGATGTCTAATTTGTTTGCTATGCTGATAAGAGCAAAAAAAAATTTCCATAATGATATTTGTCTATTCATAAGTGGTGCTAGAAATAAATGGCTCATCGTGATCATCAYAGGCACATCTTAGTGGCGAAGAAAGTCAATTTCACTCAAGAAGCCAAGGGTCACATTTTCTTCACAGGATCCTCCTGTGTGATGGAGAAGCTCTTTGCTGTGTGTCAACAAAGAGGACTGAGAAGGGGGAACTGGTCCAAGAGCCTCTCCAACACCCACACTCAGGGGACTTCCTCTAATGAGAAATGCCCCCTGCGTTAGAAGCAGGTGGAGCTGGAATGCTGAGTAGGGAAAGGCAGAGTCAGGATCCCCTGAGGGTCTTTCTCCCCAAGGGTCTTGGAAGACCTGCCCACCAGTCAATATSGTCAGCTCTGGAAGTGTTCTGCCCTGAGGTCCATGTCACTGCTGCAGACTTAAGTGTCACAGCTTTTATTTATTTATTTATTTTTGGTACTGGGGATTGAACCCAGTGGTGCTTAACCACTGAGCCACATCCCAGCTCTTTTATTGTATTTTCTTTAGAAACAAGTCTCACTGAGTTCCACTAAGTTGCTGAGGCTGGCTTTGAATCCCCATCCTCCTGCCTCAGCCTCTCAAACTGCGGGGATGACAGGCAGGTGCCATCGTGCCTGGCTTCACGGCCTTTGATAATGGCCCAAAATGAGAGCTAGAACCCTGTCAAGGCAATAAGACAGATTTTATTTAGTCCTGTTGCAATGAGCTGAGCTCAATTCCAAATACAAAGACAAGTGGGACTTACAGCCGAGGAGCAGGGTGGGGGCCCCAGTGGCAAGGYGGGCAGAAGATGGAAAATAACTCRGAGGAAACGTCAGGACCAGGGGATTCTTGCTAAAGGCAGGCCAGGGCAGTCAGACAGCAGGGTGGGAGGGGTGGACTGAGCAGGACTCTTGGTTTAGGCCGGCCCAGGGCGGGGGCTGCAGTGGCCTAGCAGAAAACAGTATTGGAAGATCCTGCCTAAAGTCTGGCCAAGGTCAGACCGGAGAAAATGCAGAAGATTGWCCTTCAGCTAGAGAGGGCAGCGTGGTTTGGGCATGGCTTGGGTGTGTCCCCCCGGGTTTCATGTACTGAAATTGAATCCCCAAGGTGAGGTATTAAGAGGGTAGAGACTTAATCCAACCMTAAGGTCGTCAAGGTGGGGGCACCTGATTGAATCCCGGTGGCTTTGTAAGAAGAAGGACAGTGGCCAGAGGATACACGTGCACCCTCCCTGTCTCCTGCTTTGTGGATCCCTTGCATCACCTTGGGACTCTGCCAGCAAGAAGGCCATCACCGGATGCCAGCTTCCTCATTGCAACTTAAGAAGTGTGAGCCCAAGTAAACATCTTTTCTCTATATCGTAGCCAGTCTGTGGTACTGTGTTCTGACAACAGAAAATGGAGTAAGGTGGTGGGGAACGTATGATAAAGTAAAATAGAAGTCACAAACTATTTTTAAAGTCATGGGAAGGATRAGGGGGAGAGGGGCCCAGGGAGAGCAGGCCTGCAGGGCCCTGGCTGGGGGTGACCATGCCAGCATCTGAGCAGGACTTGCTGCTGTTCCCTGGGATTGCCCAGGGCAGGTAAAGCTGGTCTTGGATGGCCACTCTTGGCCACCTTTATCTGTCCTGGAGGGAAGTTTGGTATGAACTTGGAGTTAACACTACTAAGTGCTTAGGAAAACTTGCCATGAGATAAGAACTCTGAAGAATGTGACTCTAAAGAATGAGCTGGCCACTTCCTGTCTCCAACCTTTAGGTGAGAATCAAAGCAGAGTGACYTTGGTTGTCAAGTAAAAGGATGCACACAAAACAGCTGAAGAATTGCACAAGTGCAGAGGACCGATGTGCCCCCCWTCCTATACAATGCCCCTGCTTGCAGGAGTGGGGCAGCCCTCCATGGTATCCCAGCCCTCCCTGCCAAGGAGGATATGAGTAATCAAAGGTCCAAAACCTCTCCATTGAGTCCTCCATGTTCTTTCTTTGGGATTGGAAAACTCTGCCTGGGTCCTTTGCAGCCCAACTCCATTCTAATTGGGAAGTCGGCGAGTGAGCAAGAGAAAAGGCATCAGGAAACTCCCTTTGAAAACTGCCCCAGTTTTTCCCCAGACCTGGTGAATGCCCTTCAGAAGTGGAACTGAATGAATCCTTTGAGTTGTTCCCAGAAATGTGAAGGGGGCTCTTCTTGGTTTGCAGACACACATAGGGTCTGCCGSGGAGAAGGTGGCTGACCATGCCCCAGAATCACACCTCCCTGGGGGGCTCCTTCCCTTCACCACGACCTCTGGGTGGGTCACTTTCCAGGAGTGGGCACCCACCTCTCCCACAGCACCTTGAGGGCAAGCAGTACTTATACAAGGGGTGGGGGATTTTCAGGGGTGAGTGGTACTGTTAACTAAAAGAAATGCCCCGCTCTGCTTTGGTTCACTGGTCATGTTCAAAGATTAAAAGCCACACAAATCAATGATATTTAGAATTTAGCTGCATTTCATGACTCATATTTCCAATTTAAAATCTCTTTACTTTTAGTGGACACATAGTAATTGTGTTTCTAGGACACAGCGTGTCATTTCAATTCATGCATACAGCGTGTAGCAACAGATCAAGGTAACTGGCCTAACTTCAGACACACWTCATTTCAATGTGCTGGGAATTTTCATAATCCTATTTACTAGTTGTTTTGAAATAGTCAATTAATCAATGTCAACCACCCTTATCCTACTGAGGACATCGGAAGTCCTCCCTCCTTTTCATCTGTACCCTGTACCCCTGTCCATTGTCTTTCCCTCCCTCCTACATCTTTCTGAGTTTTAGCAGAACTCGGGATTCCACGTTAAGACGGAAACTGCTCACAGCTCTTTTCAATTTGTTTTAACCCCCTCCGATTCCACTGACCATCTGCCTGGCCTTCCKAGAGGACAATGAATGGAGACTCTGGAGTCTGCCTGGCGGAGCAGCATCCATCAGTGCTGTCGGTCTCCACTGGCTAAGTGCATTTCCACAACCCACGGACCGGTTGGGCCAGCAGTGATCAACCTTCACACTTTCCGTTTCAATTAGCAGTGAGACAGGAGGGAGCCAGGGCTAKGGACGCTCCAATCTCGGACTTCCTTGATCACTGGATTTAAATTATACCTCTCTCTCCTGCTCATTTCTTTGCTTTCTACAGCGCTTACAAAATCGCTTCATTATATGCTTTTTTTTTTTTTTTCCTGGGCACTGGAAAGTAAGCTCTAGGGAGGAACCCAGGGGGCTGGAGCGGTGGGTTTCCAAAGTCTGCGTGGGGTGGAACCTGTTGTAGGGGCGCAGAGCCTTCGCAGGAGCCTCCTAGGATCCATAGTTGGGTCTGTTACAGGACCTGACAACTGGCAGATTCACAGGAGAAAGGGCACATACATTCATTAACTTTAAACATAACTTGCACGAGGGCTGTCAGAACAAAACCCCAAAACCCCAATACCCATAAAAGCAATGATTTTAAGTGTGCATATTCCATTGGAACAGGGGAAATGGACACTGACTTTATAGATCCCTGGGGGAATAGTTGGGAGAGATGGTGACAAAGGGTGGGTGGGTGAGGTGGCAATGGCTTGTTTGGCCTGGGTCGACCATATTTCCTAGTTGGTGAGATTTCTGAGAGGAGGATTGTGACATTCCTATTGGAGAATCTTGTCTTTAGGCGGAAGCTTCTCCCAGCGTTTGTTGTTCTTCAAGTGCCTTTGGCTCAAAATGACCAATATACCAAAGCCACAAATAGACCAAGGCAGCATATTTTGGGGGCCTTATTTTGGTTTCTTTCGCTGTCTATGCTGTTATTTTTAATATTTTGTCCATCGTGGGCTTTTAACATTAATTTCGAATTGTTAAAATATTGCAGTTAATCATTATTTATAACGGATTACGGAGCTTTTGGGGAGCGCTCTTACACCGTGCTCCCTGGCCAGTGTCTCCTCCAAGTGAAACATTCTTTGAGATCCACCCCCACGTTTCTTCCTGGACTCCAGGAACCCTCCCAGCCAGTACGCACCTCGGGGTAAACCACCAGAAAGAAGGGAGCGCAGGCTTCCTCGCCGCCTGCCCTCTCCCTCTCCACTGCCCTGCGCCTTCGTGTCGCCTTCAACCTCCCAGCTTCTTCCTCCTTCCAAGGCGCAGGGCTAGGGCCAGAGTTCCAAGGCAGGGCTCAGGTGCGCTAGGGCGGGGAGCAGGGGGGGGGGACGGAAGGAGGCTCTCAGGAGTTCAAGGTGGCGCCAAGGTGCGCTCACTGGGTGGAACGCGGCGCGGGAGCTGGGGAAGCGCCGGAAGAGGTGGGCAGGACCGGTTTGTAAGACTGCGGGTGGGAGGTGGGGTGAGGAGCCKGCCTAGGCGTAGGGCTGGGGGTGTGCCCTGGGGGCGGGGCACAGGGATGTGGGCGTGGCGCAGTGGGCGGGGCAGGGCGCAGTGAGGGTGTGGCCGGAATGTGGAGCGAGCGCCGCAGACTTCGCTCCTGGAGGCTGGTGCTYCGCTCCAGCCGCCGAGGCAGCTGCCACTGGGGTCGCCGGTGGGTGTGAATCCCCCTCCCCCTGCGCCACGTCCACTGCTGCAGCCAGAAGCGAGGCCAGAGGTGGGGCTGGGGTTCGGTCGGCGCCTTGGGTCCTGGAGTCCCTGGGGCGTGTCTGTGCCTCCCGGGAGCCGGCCGTGCGGAGAGAGGCGGAGCGCAGCCGCCGCTCCCACCCACCTGCCCGCTAGTGACGGTCCGCCGGCGGGTGTTCTCCGTCTGCAGTGACCCTTCATCCGCCCCGCCAAAGTTCTCGGCTCGCAGGTGTCCCCCGTCCGCCAGTGACCGCCGGCCGCACCATGGTGGACGTGCTGGGCGGGCGGCGCCTGGTGACCCGCGAGGGCGCGCTGGTGGAGGCCGAGGCGGCGCTGCAGAACAAGGTGGTGGCTCTGTACTTTGCGGCGGGCCGCTGCGCTCCCAGCCGCGACTTCACGCCGCTGCTCGGCGACTTCTACTCAGCTCTGGTGGGCGCGGCGCGGCAGCCGGCGCCTTTCGAGGTCGTGTTCGTGTCGGCGGACGGCAGCGCGCAGGAGATGCTGGACTTCATGCGCCAGCAGCACGGCGCCTGGCTGGCGCTGCCCTTCCACGACCCCTACCGGCAGTGAGTGCGGGCCCTGGGGCTGGGGCCGCCGCCGTCGCCCGGGTCCCCGCTGGCCACCTCTCCGGCACCCGGTGGCTTTTCCAGACGCCCCTTTTCTCCCTCCCTCCCCGCCTTCCTGTCCAGGTCCCGGTTCAGGTAAATCACACTGAAGTCTGTTTCAGCTTCCCCAGATTCGAAAACGCGGTGCACTCGCGGATTCTGGGGCTGGGGGCTCTGAGTTTCTCTGGAGGAGCTCCAGCTGGTGAGGACGCTTGCGGGGGTTGGGGGGGAGGTGTCCATTCATTCCTCCCCGCCAGTGGAGGACCACAGCCTGGGTCTGGGGGCAGGTGGGTGTGACCTGGGAGGTCCAAACGGTGACCGGTGCCCGCAGAGCAGCAGTTGTGGGTGTGGGAAGCGGGGAACCAGGGTTGGAGGAGCCCGGGTGCTGGTGGAGGAATCTCAAAAGGTGTTGGATTCATTACTGTAAATTTCGTGGCTGTGAATGTTGGAAGAATCTGGAGGAGGCAGATGTTGGAAGCGACAATCTGCTCTCCTAAGGGACCTGCCCCCTCCCCCACGCCCTTGTTGAGATCCTCTCCTCTGTGCTGGATGTTTGAGTTTGTGAAGGAACTGGACGCTTCACAAGCAGAGATGACCAGAGCCGGCCACCCGTGCTCAGAGCGGCTCCCCTGCCTGCAGCTGGAGCTCACAGGCTCTGACTAGATCAGCAGGGGCACTGGAGAGGAGTAGGGAGTCAGGGGATTGGGGAGGTGCAGATGGCAGGGCACTGACCGTCCTGCCTGTGTGGTCTCCTGTGATGTGAGAGTCTAGATGGAGGTTTAAATCACACAGGTCACAGAGCACATGGCTCTAACCCTCCTCCTTCCTAGTACGGATGTGAATATTTCCCTGTGGCTCGAAACTGTCCCCTTGGGTTACTCATTCATTTGTGAAGTTACCCCCTAACTTACTTACTCTGAGATGATATTCTTTCTGGAAAAACGGAAGTCAACTTCGGGGAGTCCGGGGAGAGGTGTACTCAACTAGAGGAAGTCTGATTATTCTCCCAAATCCTCGCTCTTTGGTGATTCCCCATGAAGCGGAGGATCCAGGCAGGAAGCCAGCCTTGGAGGTGGGTGAGGACTCATCTTGATGACAGTGTCTCCATGATGGCTGATTAACCTCCCACGGAGATTCATTAGAGAATCTCTTCAAGCAGCTCGTCTGATGGGACTTCCCTCCTGCCCCAGCTGTACACTTTTGAAAGGACACAGTTGTTTGGAGGGTGAGATGGTGAGAGTGTTAGTCATCAGGCAGAGAGCTCAGGCCCCGTAGAGCACTGCTCTGGTGTCACCCAGGGGGAAGGTTGGGAGTCTTACTGCCGAGCTGAAGGACACCCTTAGTGCAGTGCCTGGTCCATTAAAAGGCCCCTGGAAGTGGTCTGGTTACGGACCAGCACTCTGGTCCATGTCATTTACAACATGTCACCGAGGCACAGAGTTCTCCAGGGTCTGGGGGCCCTCTTTCTGCCCTGACTCAGTTCCTCTCCTAGAAGGTGATGAATGCTTCACCCAGGGGCACCCAGATGGGCTCCGGAGGGGCAGCACTTTTGAGGCCATGCAACATTATCTGACTCCTGGTCACTGATCAGAGCCTGTTGCTCTAGCTGCAGACAGATGAGCCACCTTGAGTAAGGGTGACCCCAAGCTCTGGTCATCTCTGCCTGGTCTGCCCTCCTGCTCAGAGGGGTTTTTCTTTCTGTGAACTTAGCATTTTGTCCCCACCCCCGACCCTGGCATGGCCATGCATTCATTGACTGTGAAGCCAAGTAAACATTCTGTGGGCATTGTTGGAGCCATGCCCTAAATTCTGCTGATCCCAACCTGGACTTATGAAACCCGGTCATGAGCCATATGGAAAGAGCCACCTCCAAGAAAAACTTAAAAATGCACAAAGCATCCAAGAGGTATTGGGAGAAATTGTTAATGTGTGCAGTAGGCAGTGCCCTGTGGTTGGTACCCTTGAGAGGAGGCCAGGACACTGATGTCACAAGCTCCACTTGGTAGATGAGGGGGGAGTAGCCCTTGTCCTGCTTTTCCCAAGGGCCTGAGCTCATCACCATGTCCACTCAATTCCTGAGAATTCCTCAAGAAGATGGAGGAGAAGAAAACTTGAGGCTTCTAAGGAAATCACTGTGGGGCACCCTTGGGGTTACCCTTTGGTGTGATTGGTTCTAGACATCGTCTCCCCTCTTACAGCTGCAGGTGCACCTATAGGGAGGGGAGAAAATGCCTAGAACCCCGACATTTTCCCTGAGGTTACATATGCAGTCCAGAGAAGTAGCTGTTTATTGCTAGTATTGGGGGGCGTGGAGTTCTGGGCCCATTTCCTTGCCCATGTGCCCATTTCCCTGGCCAGTGCTAAGGCAGGTGGYTGAGGGGAAGGCACCAGGGACAGATGCCATTGCTCCCTGGAGGCATTTCCTCAGGATGAGGTTCCATCCCACCTCACCCTCTTCCTTTCTTTGTGACTAAGTTTATGGGTCAAACTCAAGGAAAAAGGAGTAAGTTTACATTCACCAGCAGGGATTCCTGCTGCAGGCTGCCATCCACCAGACACTTGATCTGTGGGGATTTTATAATGATCCGATCGTCTCATGACAAGATTCATTCTGCTCGGCCTCTGGAACTAGAATGGGAGCGGACCCCACGGGGGTCTGGAGGGAGCCCAGCCTCTGGCCCCTGCCTCCCAGGCTGGCTCTCGGGGCACCTCACCTTGCAGGCTAAGCTTMTCTGATGGAAAAATCACACTGGCCAGGGCTTCCTGTCTTGGGTGGAGAGTGGCTGGGGTAGAGCCATGGGGGGAGTTAGTGCCTGTGCAGCCTGGTTTTGATTCTGTCACCASCCCTTGCCTCCCTCCAGCCCTGTGTGCAGTCCTGGTCCTCTAGACTCAGGGCATCCATTGAGTCCTCCTCTCCGGAAGCCTTCTCCAGGTGTCCTGAATTCAGACACTGGACTGTTAACAGTGTYCGCTGATTGCTGTCCTCCATCTAAATGGCTCTTCGTTCAAAGATRGTTCTGGCCCAGCAGGAGCTTCCTCCAGCCCTCGGGGTTTCCTGATTTTTGTTGCCTGCAGCGGGACCAAGCCAGACCTGGTTCAGTGCTTGGTACCCACAGGGTGCACGTCTGATGGGYGTTTGAAACAAGTGAGCAAAAGAGGGTGCTCTGGAGAGATTCGCCCGGCAACAGTCTGCTGCCGGCCAAGATGGAAAGAAACGCCAGTCAGGTGTCGCCATGGCAACCAGAAGCACRTAGGTCAGGGACAAGGATGTGGCTGGGTTAGGTGCAGGAGGGACAGACGTTGCAGCAGCACTGAGGACCAGGACAAGTGGGGCTCTGGGATTTGCCCAGATGGTTGAAAATCCCCCTGAGTTATGTCTGCGGTGCTTTCCTGTGCCAAGCMCTTCTGTTCTCTGTGGACACAGCGCAGCGCCCAAGGGATGGAGATGTCTTCAGGGGACAGTGGCTGTTTGCTTCTCCTCTTTGGTTCCGAGGTTCTGTTTGTTTCCAGGGAGAGGCTGCCAGGGTGAGGATTTGAAGTGAGGCAAGACGCCTTAGGCTCCTTGTTCCTCAAAACTAGCTACGTCCCTCTGATGGCACCAGAACTTGGTTTAGTGTTGCAGGTGATTCAAATAACAGTGCTTAAGTAAAAAAGTTATGGGCTGACATAAATGAAACTCTGAAGGCAGGAGCTAGTCTTTCAGGAGGCCGGAGGCCGCTGAGGATCCAGCTTCATGGGTTGCCTTCTACCATGTCTTCTTTGAGCTCAGGCTACAAGCAGTGGCTGCCTGGCAATTTGAGTTTCTCCTCATGGTGGCAGAAGGACAGCCGTGTCTCAGACGACCTCCTCACACTTTCCTCTTTCTCAGCACACAGGCAGATGTTCTATGGAGCCTTACTTATTCTTTGTCCACTAGTTACTCATTTCTGTACCAGTTGTTGGGACCAAGGGACATGTTCACTGAGCAGTCGGCCCAGCTGGAGTTGGAGTTAGGTCCTTCCCATGCAATGTGGGAAGTGTTTATTGAGTAGTTATGGTGTGGGGAACCCCATTTATTGTTCAGCTGTTCACATACTATTCATTTAATCTTCACAACAACCCTAGGAGGCAGGTTCAGTTATTCCCCTGGTGCAGGTGAAGAATCTCAGGCACMGGGAGGCTAATTAGCTTGCCTCAGCCGCACAGCTGGTCCATGCCAGAAAGCAGAGGGAGGAGGTCAGGATGCCCAGTGTCGAACTCTAGGCCACGACTGCGTACACTGTCAAGGGCACTGTCCTCAGCACCTTACCACCTCTTCCCTCCTCCACTCTGGTGGAGAGGATGCAGAAGGTTCTGGGAGAGACCAGCAGGGCTGGCAGCCCWGAGCACACCCAGGTGAGCCACCAGGGCTATTCAGACCCCGATGCCAGCCCCTCAGGGTCACAGAGACTGAAGTTGTCATGGGCCCCTGGGTCTTCCTGAGGCTCTGCCCCGGGACCCCACTGAGAAAAGCAGGTCATGCTGTTGGTAACCCAGGAACCAGTCAGGAACGCAGGTGCTGGGTCACCCTTCAGTGGGCTCGGGGGTCTGCAGGGAAGATGCTGCTCCCCCTAACTGGCTGATTYCCCCACCAAAAGCTTGCTGCGTACTCCTGGCTAAGGTCCCAAGTTCCTGGGGTCCCAGCTCTGCCAGGTCTGGCTGAGGCCAGACCTCAGTCCCTTTCTGAAACTTGGTGGACTCTGCCCTGCCCAGTCCTGCTACCCAAAGCACAGGTAYTAAGAAAACCCATTTGCCAAAACTACCATCTTGCTGTAGTTTTTATGCAAAAAAAGTATAAAAAAGCTTTTTGGATTGTTTCTCTTCATTTTTTAAAAAATTTCATACCTTTGAGAAAAGTGGGTTCCTTAGACTTCAAGTTTCAGGCATCACAGAGAATTCTTAAAACACTGGGGAGGGTCATGCCCCCTGCCACATCTCTCCTGCCCACAGCATGTTCTGGGATCTCTGCAGGCCCCATTATTCTGAGGTTTCTGGGTTTCAGTTTGACAGGCTGTTTCTGACCTGCAGTTTGACATGAATCTGCATCTGCTCTGTGTCTGTGGCTTTCGTGTCTCATCTTTGCAAACGCAGTTTTAGCACAGTGTCCTCTACAGGCAGTGGCTGGCTGGCAAATTGAGTTTYTCCTCATGGTGGCAGAATGACTGCCATGTCTCACACTACCTCCTCACACTTTCCTCTTTCTCAGCCTACAGGCCAATGTTCCACAGAGTTGACATGTTTCTTCCTCCCACCTTTGCTGTTTCTTCCTTCTGTGAGTCAGTTGATGGACATTACAGGGGAGGGCTCCTAGAGAGACTGGGGTGAAGGCTGTGTGAATTGTTTCTTTGGGACACCACCCCAGGACAGGCCAGGACCCTGTTGTCAGTACCCCCACGAGGAGGGTTAAGTCCGTGCTGGGCCCATGTGCGAGCCGACCTGCCCGACTCCTGACCTTCTTAGGTATTCTCCTTTTCTCTGGCTCAGTCTCAGTAAAGATTTGTTTCACATTTTAGAATTTCCAAAGAATCAAGTGGGGTTTTATTGCTTAACACCCCCYCCCAGTTAATCTATTCAAGTGGATTAATGCACTTCTTAGGTTAAACCCCATATTGACTTTCATGGGTTCATTTCTTTTTTCGGTTATTTCTGTTATTTCACTTATTTCTCGTTTTGCCTTTTTTTTTTTCTGTTTTCTTTGCATTTCCTCCATCGTTATTCAGCTTCTTGAGTTTAAATACATTACTCATCGATATGTGAGCTTTGCATTTTTCATTTGAGTTTTGCTGTGTTACCCAGACTGCTCTTATACTCATGGGCTCAAGTGATCCCCCTGCCTCAGACTCCCAAGTACCTGGGACTCCAGGCTGTATGAGTTTTGGATAAGTGTATCTAAGGTACAGCTTCCTAAGTGTGTTTGCTTGTGTATACAGTTTGCATTTGTATAGTTGTACCTTGGTATCCAGGGTGAATTGGTTACAGAAACTCCCAAAGGTACTAAAATCCAACGATGCTCAGATTCGTTGTATAAAATGTTGTAGTAGCATGGTATTTGTGTTTAGTCAGCTTCTTTGTACTGTGACCAAAGGACCTGACAAGAGCAATGTGGAGAAGGAACAGTTTATTGGGGGCTCACGGTTTCAGAGGTCTCAATGCACAGAGAACCACTTCAGGGCTCTGGGCCCAAGGTGAGGCAGAACATGGTGGCAGAAGGGTGTGGAGGAGGAGAGCAGCTCAGGACTTGGCCATCAGGAAGCAGAGAGAACTCTGCTCACCAGGGACAAAATATAACCCCCCCCAAGTCTCGCTACCTCCTCTAGCCACACCCCACCTGCTCACAGTCACCACCCAGTTAATCCATTCAGGTGGGTTACTGCACTGATTGGGTCAAACCTCTTATAACCCAATCGTTTYACCTCTAAATTGTTTTTCACTCTCTCACACATGAGGTTTTGAGGGGGACACTTTGCATATAACCTACACACATCCTCCAGTAGATTTTAAATCATCTTTAGATTACTTACAAAACCTAMTACAAGGTCAATGCTCTGTAAATAGTTGTTATATTGTTTAGAAAATACTAAGGACAAGAAAAACAGTATGTACATGTTCAACACAGATGTGATTTTTTTTTAGGAATATTTTCAATTCAAGTCTGGCTCAACCCATAGATGAGAAGCCTTTGGATACTGTTCTAAATGTTTTTTAATCTAAATGGCTATTTCACATACAATATATAGTTAGTTTTTAATTTTTTTTTTTTTTTTGGTAACAGGATTGAACAGGGGCAATTAGCCGCTGAGCCACATTCCCTAGCCCCTTTTTAAATATTTTCGTTAGAAAGAGGTCTCACTGAGTTGCTAAGTGCCTTGCTAAGTTGCTGAGGCTGGCTTTGAACTTGAGATCCTCCTGCCTCAGCCTCCTGAGCTGCTGGGATCACATGTGCGGGCCACGGCCCCCGTTTATGGTTAGTTTTCAAACTCCYTCTTAATCGTGATTGCTTACTGGTTTTCAAGTCCATTACACGATCGTCCGATTCATCAATGTTTTGAAATTTGTTGAGACCACTTTTGTGGCTGAGAATACAGTTGGTTCCCAGGTTCACAGGTGTTTGAAAACAATGTGTACCCTCTCTTGGAGTGTGAGGGATGTGTATTTTTTTCTGCTTGAATGAAGGTTGACCTTTGACCTGGTCCTGGAGGGTCCTGGCAGCCTTGTTAGAAGTGTCCACTGGGAGGCTTGGTGATAGGAAGGTCAGTTGCGGCTTGGCTTCCTCTCAGCCTCCTGACCCCGGGGGCTGCAGATGAAGGAAATCCCATTACTGTTGGCCTGACTGGAGAACAGGGGTGGGATCCCCTGCCCGCCCCCTGTCTTGAGGGAGGTAATCCCTGTGAAGGATGAGGGGACCCCTGCAGAATTAGGGAGGCTGATGCTTCTTTCCCTAAATGAACACAAATAATGTTGTACAAAGGCCTCTCACAGGGCTGGAGGTGATGGTGAAGGGGAGTGAGAAATGTTCCGTCCACCACCAAATCAGCTGATGCATCACTGAATTTGTAAGGTGTAGAGTCCGACRGGCTTCGGATGTCCTTGGAACTCGCCGGATTTTATCTTACCCTGATGTGTACCTGATATTTTCCTTCTCTTGAGAGAAGAATAGAAAACGCTGCTGGGTTTACTTGTGCATTTTGAACTGTCCCATGCTGTAGCCACCAGCCACCTGTAGCTGCTTCCATTTCAATGAACAGGGCCGGGGCRAAGCTCAGTGGTCTGGTGCTTGCCTAGGATGGAGCCAGGCTCTGGGTTCAGTCCCCAGTACTGGGTGTGGGGGAGGGGGACAGCTAAATTTAGCAGTGAATCCAAACAAGAAGTTCTGCTCTTCCCTCTGACTTGCCACCCTTCTGCCTACACGGCTGGTGGCCACTGTGTTGGGCTGCACAGATCCAGAACAGTTCTGCAAATGGGTGGTTCTCCAGGTCTGGACTGGCTTAGAAATGTCACAACCRGTAGAAAAGTTACTTGCCAGCCCAGCAGGGGGTCTCATTGGCAGCGGGCTGTCCTGCCGGCCAGTCCCCTGGGTGGGGCCCTTCCTTCCCATGTCGGTGCAGRAGGGCAGAAGTGCTAACCTCTGCTAACCCTGTTCTCTCCTGCAGCGAGCTGAAGAGGAGGTACGACATCACGGCCATCCCCAGGCTGGTGATCCTGAAACCCAACGGGGAGGTGATCACCAGCAAAGGGCGGAAGCAGATCCGGGAGCGGGGSCTGGCCTGCTTCCAGAACTGGGTGGAGGCGGCCGAGGTCTTCCAGAACTTCTCAGGCTGAACTGGGAGAAGGGACAGAGCCCGGACGGGGCGGCTCCTTCAGTGCAGACCCCCGAGGGGAAAGAGGAGCCCATTTTTTCTTCTTTCTCTCTAAGCAGCATCTGATTTTATTTCAGAGCAGAAGTGCTAAGCCGTGGCAGAAAGTAAATGTTGCTCAGGAAAAAAAAAAAAAAAAAACAAGCAAAAATACCTCGTGCTCCGTTGGGATCCTGTAGCTACGTGACAGTTATTTTTTATTCTTTGCCTAGCTTTGGAAATCTATGCAGACATTTTATTTGTACAAGTCTCTTCAGGTAAAATGATCAGTTTATGGATGAATTTTTTCTGGCCGTCTATCATTGTGATGATGTGTGTTATATGGTTTCACAACTCTRTTTATTATTAAACAAGTTTGCATACAATATGGTTTCTTGTTTTATTTTTGGCAGTCCTGGGGATCGAACTTGTCTAACACCCATGTTAGATCTAAGTTCTCTACCACYGAGCTACATCCCCAGCCTGACTGTGAGCTTTAATAAACAAATATTTATACCTGAGAAATTTCATTCTTATTCCAAACCAAGTAGAAAAGTAGCAACTGGATGGATTAGAATCTTTGAAGAAATGTTGTGAGTTATTCAGGGAGTCCGAACCTTATACCAGTTTATTTGTCAGAGGTGGTAGTTTTTAATTATGTGCCTTCCTGGAATAATTTTCTTCCCTTTGCACGTTCTCACACTGACTTTTAATAACATTGTAAATACCTAGAACGAATGAAATGTCCAAGGCGACATACACTCATMAGATTCCAGTCAGTGACGAGCAGCACAGATGATGATGGTCCCATAAGATTGTAATGGGGTGAAGGAGTTCCTATTCCCCGGTGACGTCTGTGATGTTGGCACAGTGATGAAATTGCCCAGCAGTGCCTTTCCCGTGTGTGTCCCTGTCATTGGGCAACACGCTCCGCTGTATTCGAGGTTAAATCTCAACATTTCTTGAAAGATTCTAATCCATTAGTTAACCCCCCCACCCCCCCAGTAAGAGGAAAGCTGTCCGTGGTTCCGTGGTCCAGATCCCAGCTCCCCCACGGCCGCCTGCTGCCTGGCCTCATGCGTAGCCGTTCTTGTTCTTTCCCAGTTTCATTTTGATCCGACTGATTGGAACTGAGAGGATACCGGATGCCCACTGTCGCCCAGTGGGTTCCCTTGGCTTGGACCCAGGAATCCCAGCATTCCCAGACCAGGAGCGGGGAGTGAGGAATGTGCTGGGTTACTCTGGGCCGCGGTGTGTGTGGTAGCGCACGGTGCAGCTGGGGACAGGCRAGGACTCTGAGCCTCATTTCCACCTCTCAACTCTGCTCTGTCAGTTAACTTCTCTCCACTGGAAACCGAGATGCTGCTTCATTGGGATCCGGTGGATCCAGTGTTGACTACTTGATGGAGCTAACGTGATCAGTATTTTCCTCCAAAATAAATTGTGTCTTCCAAACCAAGAAATAGCATGTTCATTTAATTATGATCGGTGTTTTTTGTTGTTGTTGTT